GTGTAATGGGCCCAAAATAAGATTGCCGACGATCCCGATTTTCATAAGCGAATTTTGTTTAGCGATGAAGCTCACTTTTGGTTGAATGGATATGTCAATAAACAAAACTGCCGTATTTGGAGTGATGATAATCCTCAAGTGTACGTTGGGACATCGGTACCTCCAGAAAAACTGACTGTGTGGTGTGCTTTATGGGCTGGTGGAATAATTGGTCCGTACTTCTTTAAAAACGATGCTGGCCAGAACGTTACAGTCAATGGTGACCGCTATACAGCGATGATTACTGACTTTTTCGTTCATCAATTGAACAACCATGATGTGCAGGAGTTATGGTTTCAACAAGACGGCGCAACATGTCACACAGCTCGTGCTACAATTGATTTGTTGAAGGAAACGTTTGGTAACCGCATAGTTTCACGTTCCGGACCCGTGAATTGGCCTACAAGATCGTGCGATTTAACGCCGCTTCACTATTTTCTGTGGAGATATGTGAAGTCGCAAGTCTACGCCGATAAGCCCGAAACGATTGACCACTTGGAGGACAACATTCGGCGCGTTATTGCCGATATGCGGCCACAAATGTTAGAAAAAGTCATCGAAAATTGGACCTCCAGATTAGACTACGTCCGAGCCAGCCGTGGCGGTCATATGCCAGAAGTCACATTTAAATTATAACGCCAGAAGATTGCCTTTCGAATAAATTAAATTTCATGTCAATAAAAAAAACCATGTTTGTTTTATTCCATTTCAAAGTTCTATACCTCTAAAAAAACACCCAATATTTTGGGTCTTTCGATCTGGCAAACCTAGGCGAGGCCCACGTACAGAAGTATACCTCACAGGCTGTTGAAGTTAGTTATTATAAACACATTAAAACGCTATTGATATACAACAATCATTGAAGAACATATAAACGATATGTTAATAAACTTTATTTTATTTTATTTCAAATAAAATAAAGTTTATTAAGTATGTACCTTATACTATTAACAATATATAGTGTACATTGAATTCAAACAACTGCAAATCAAAATGGTAACCCATTGCATATTTGTAGTATTTAAAATTAATTGATTTAAATACACTAACGATTGTTGCAAAAATGCGGAAATTGGTATGCACACAACTACTTAACTTGCACAAAACTACTTAACTTGCACAATTAGTTAAAGGTAGGTAGCACCGCATGCTTCTAATTACTAAAAATTTACCTAGTTATTCTAAATATTATATGAAATACAAAAACCAAGAATATAACAAAATAATACTATGCATATAAATTTAACTTATATCTAGTTACTTAAATAATGTATCTTTACTGTGGCCTTAAACTTGGCTTGATATTAGAAAATGCTTTTTTATATAAAAAATTTTTAAATAAAAAAAAATTGGTTGTCCCTGTTCCATTTTCCATCCCTGGAACTTCCCGCTAATTTCAAATGCAAAGCGCTCCAAATTTCACCAAATTATGTTGCGAAATCTCGAAGTTATGTTAAAAAAACGTTTTTTTCAAATTCTTTCTCCTTCGATATCTCATGAACGAATGAACCGATTTTTATTTTCCAAACGGCACTCTACGTCATTTTTTGAGTTTAAGAGCTGATTAGTATTTGAAATCTATCGGTAAATCCGTTTAAAAGTTATTCCAAAAAAAAAACACAGTTTTTCAAAATTATTATTTTTGAGATTTCTCAAAATCTTCTCGTCCGAATCAGTTCATATTATCACCAAATCTATTCCACATTGAGATCTTTAGAACGCCGCAAACCGCATCTCAATCGATCAAGACACTCAAAAGTTATGAAAGGTTTACATACACATATACATACATACATCCGTACGGACGTCCACGTGAAATTAGAATAGCTTCCTGGGATCTCAAAACGTCGAGATCTGATGAAAACTCGATTTTCAAAAATCGGGGTGAAACCAATAACTTCCCTATTTTTGAAAATTTTCAATTTTCTTAGCGGGAAGTTAAAAATTGTTTTGATACGTTTCACATTTTCCATCAAGTGAAAGTGGTAAAACGTAGTGATTATAAAAAAGTCTTAGATAAGTAGCATATAATACGCCCTACATTGTAACCAGAAACACATTAGTTACGATGTTTACTCTTTGTTTAATTATCCCATTATGAACGGTAGTTAAGTCACCACTACCTAGCATAATATCATCGCTGCTTTACATCAGTACGAGGGCGGCATTGAAAATTTCGGGATTCAAGGAAGTGACACAACATTACTATTTAAAAATGTATTTATTGCTTTTCGAAGTATTCTCCGCGAAATTTGACTCATTTTTCCATACGATGGAACTAATCATTGCATCAACCATTCCATTCGGAAGTTGGGGTCTCCAAAATGGCCGTTTTGTAGGCGTCCACAGCTTCTTCAGGTGATGAAAATCTCTGTCCACGCAATTTATTCTTTATTTTAGGGAAAGTATAGAAATCATTAGGGCTTAGGTCGGGGCTGTACGGCGGATGGTCTAATAATTCTATGTTTTCTTACTCTAAAAACTCTTTTGTTCCGTGTGCGGTGTGAGAACTCGCATTGTCGTGATGGAGGATGATGCGGCGGTTGCAGTTCTCTTTACGGAGTTCAGAAACGACCTGTGGCAAACAATTGCTAGTATACCATTCTAAATTAACCGTTCTTTGTCCCTAAAGAGGAATAGTCATAACATGGCCGGTTTTGGAGACAAACGTGGCCACCATTTTTTTTTTGCAGCACTCCGTGAATGAACAATTTTCGTTGGCTTTAACTCATTTTCGAACACCCAAACTCGTGACTGGTTTTTTGTTTCGGGTTCGTACGCGTATATCCAGGATTAGTCACCTGATACGATGTCGTATACAGCATTTGAGGATCCTGCGTGGAATTTTTCGAGAGTTCAGACGCACCAAGTAACGCGAGCCGCTTTTTGCTCTTCACAGAGCGAATGCGGTATCCATCGGGAAAACAACTTTTTTACACCTAATTGTTCATGCAAGATTATTTGTATTTGACTCATGCCAATGTCTAAAGTTGCCTGAATTTTGCGGTATGTCACATGTCGATCTTCCTCAATCAGCTTACGCACAGCATCAACGTTTTCTTAGGTGACTGCAGTTTTTGGACGACCTTGACGGGGATCATCACTGAGCTTGACACGTCCAAATTGAAATTCAGTAAACCAGCGATAAATTGTGGTTTTGGATGGGGCTTCATTACCAAAGGCGGAAATCATCCGGTCAACACACTGTTTTTGTGTTAAACTACTTCGAAAGACATAATAAATCATTGCTCTTGAATTTTCTCGAGTTAATTCCATTTTCTCAACGACTAAACAAGTTTGACAAAACCTTATGACGAGACAGAGAATCTTTTTTTAAATAAATAAATGGTATTCGATTTTTAAAACCAAGGAGTTTTCAATTAAAAATATTTTAATATGACAGGAACAGTGGAAATATTCCATTCCCGATACTTTTAGTGGAGCCTAGGTACTTTTGTATCACCTAGGATTACGGTTACACATAAGAAATTATACTTTTTTATTCAAAATGACTATACCTTCTCCAGGATACCGACGTTTATCGATATTTGGAACCATTCACAATTCACAACGCCATGATAGCTCAGGGGCTAAGCGTTTGTTGTTTACAGAACGCGAGGAGCCGGGGTTCGATCCCAGCCGACAGCAATTTTGCATGCCAAATGCGCAAGGCGCGTAGGTATGTTCTACTAGCGCCTAAAATTCAAGAATCCAACGTTTTGTCGCATGAAATCGTATATGACAATCATATTGAACATATAAATGATATAAAAATCACATTGTAGAAAGATAAATAAAAAAGTGGTTTTAGCGGCTTATGGTGTAGATTTATCACGTTTGCATGGGTAAACAAGATAACTTTTGAAAATATCAATTGTTCAACTCAATCCGTTTTTACTCTGTTCATCTATCATGTGGGAAGCCATGGAATGTAAATGGCTGTTGAATTTTACTTCGTTTAGTTATAATTAATTTTTTTGGATGAGAAAAACCGAAATTTTCGGTGTTAGTGCAGCTTTGTAATAATATATTTTACTAAGTACAGATACACTTTGACTCACTGTTACTGGGGCTCGGCCGCTGCCGTGAGTTACTGTATCGTTTGTTTACAGGGGCTCGTGATGAAAAATATCGATCACTATAGAAATACAAAATATTCCAAAAACTAAATTTGATACATACTTGACCAAGATAAGTTATATTATTTTTATAATCATATAAGCTAAATTAAAATACTGGTTATGACCAGATGAAAAACTTTTTGAAAACGAAATAAAGTTGATAAGAAAAAAAATTATTAACGAGTTATGTAAAAAAGACTAGTTTTTACGATAATGCTTGAGTACAAATACTTTAAAATTTACGTGGTAAAAAGTTGATTTCTGATCGTTTTAAGATAATTCTGTTAAGTTTTTTTAATTAACAGTAATAAAAAAAATTGAATGACAAAATTATCGGAAAATTGGAAGTGATAGTAACAAGGATATTTGTGAAAAGTTGTGTGTATTTAAAATACTTTCAAAATTGACGTATAACATGAGCGCTTAAGGCATGCCACATTTGGATTTACCAAGTTTTTTGACGTTGTAATTGCAATGTAAAATGCTGATTTATCAAGTGTTTAGCAATAAAGAAAAAAGATATACTAAAAATAAATAAAAGATATAATAGATAAAAAAGATAGCAATAAAGAAGAAATAAATGAATTGATATTTCGAAGACATAATATGAAGTCCACCAACAAGCATTGGGGTAGCGCGGCGGACTTTTACTTCCCCTAAAAATCTCAGGCGCTGGACCAACGGCTCATCAGAACAACGAGGCAATCCATAGAGTAAGTATAATATCACTACTAATATAAGCTGTAACGATTTACAATCCACAATACTAGCAGGTAAGTAAGAACATTCAACAACACACCACAATACAAGCAAGAACAGAACATTCAACAAGAAACTCACCTGATGCACTGTATGAGGCTTATCCGCGAAGTCCGGGCGTGTCCAGCTCTAGCGCACTGCTGCACCTGGTAATTGTATGACATCAGCATGCGATCTGCTTGCTTGCTGTATGCGAACATTGCGCCCATCGTGCGTCTGTAGCCCCATTTGGCCTCCTGTGTTACATGGCCAATGTTACGATGCAACTCGTTTGCGTCACAGGTCAAATATCGAACAGACGTTTCATTTTGGACACAGTGGCGCAAAGATCAAAACATCGTTAATTTTTTTTAATGTAACCAATTTGCATCATGCTATTTTTTGACGCTACTCTGTACGATACTGTGTATAGTTTTGTTTATTTTTTTAACCGACTTCATAAAACAAGAAGATTCTATATTTGACGCATATATTTTTATGTATGTTCACCGATATCTCGACAACGGCTGAACCGACTTAAATGCCTGTTTATTTTATTGAAGTAGGCTATACTTCAGGTATGATCATAAATTTAAAGAAACAGACTTTAATACACCTATTTATACATCTTTCAAGTAGTTACCTTGAACTTTTCGATCTTTTACTTTCTTTAGGCCACTCAAAAAGCGAAAATAATTAAACTTTTAATAAAAAATTGCAAGACCATGGAAGTGCTAATGCTAAAGTGGAAATAAATGACGAGTAAAACCCCTACATCGGAAGCCATTCTTTCATGTGGAAGTTTTTTTGTTTGTGGTCTTTGACATCGGTTTTACTTTTTATAAAAAGTTTAATTATCTTTATATACAAACATAATTTTTCAACTGTGGCGATGTAAGAATATCCACTATTTCATATATCGTCCCGTGGGTGCCGTGAGAGGCGACAGCAGGCAACATCTTACTGATAAATTAAAATAAATAAATACTACTATAAAACTGCGGTTGCCAAACCGCCTGCCAGGCGTGGCAAATAAATATAGCAAAATCCCAATAAAGCAATGGGAATGGCCTGTGTTTGCCAATGGACTTTTATAGGCTGTAATGGACGGATGAATGCATTTTGTAGCGAATTTTAAACAAAATATAATTACAAAATAATGATTTACAGTACAATTATATGATACGGTATGGCTCTAGATGATAGAACTCAACTTTGAAACCGATACAAACGTAAATAATAATATGGTAATAGGTTTGCGTGACTTCACTCACAACAATCACAGTTTACAACATCGAATCGATACAATAAGGGAGACCGGGGATGGTTGACTACAGGGGCAGATTGACTTACTGTCAATAACTCGATATACTTGAAAGTGTTGCTTTATCCAACTAGACGCGAGAAACCGTTTTTACAACTCAGGTACCGGGAGCGTGGCATCGCAAACGCACGTCGTTCGGGGAAGGAGCATATTATCGAAAAACAAATCATGTAAGTTATTATTTTCCTCATAATTTTTGTAATAACGCCTTAATCTCGTTAACTTCGCCTTAACTCGTTGCCATTTACTTTCAAGTAATTTAAAATAAAAATTTGATTATTAATCTTTTTATTACATATTTTGTTTTTTAATTTGCCCGTGTTGAGGCTATATCATGTGGTTAAAAATTAAAAAGCGACCAAGGGCTAGTAGACCAACTTATTTCGGGGCTGATTGACCTAGTCAACCAACACCATAGTAGTCATATAACATGGAATAAAACCGTCTTTTTTCAGTTTATTAAATGTTTGTTCTTACAGAACCACGCGAGCGTACAAAAGATTGATCGAGAAGGTACACCCCAAGGTGTCTTCGATAGAATCATTCTACAGCAAAAGAATTTGATATACCGTATAAAACACTCCAACGCAAGTTGGTACAAAAGGAAGAAAATGTTAAAAACTAATCCGAAAATTACGGGATCTAAATTTTACTTTGGGGAGCGCTGGCTACAATAAAAATAAACAAATATTTATTGAAGAGAAAGAACTTGCATCAGAAAATTACCATAAGAAGGTAGCTGATATTTATTACGGATTTACACTGCTTATGAAGATAGAGATAAACCTGAAAAAATAGGCTAAATATGAAAACAAAGAAACCAAAGTGAAGGAAAATTTACAGGGGCAATAATGACGGAGAAAACACAAAGTGATGAGCATGATACATTTTGCTTTCATCATCATTACAGCCCTTCACAAGTCCACTGCTGAACATAGGCCTCCCCCAAGGTATGCCACAAAGCACGGTCCTGAGCCACCTGCATCCATCGACTTCCTGCATGTCTTACCAGGTCGTCACTCTATCTAGTGGGGGGTCGCCCTACACCTCGCCTACCGGTACGAGGCTGCCACTTGAGAACCTTTTTTCCCCAACAGTTATCGGTTCTTCGAGCTATATGGCCGGCCCATTGCCACTTCAGCTTACTAATCCGTTGGGCTATGTCGGTCACTCTGGTTCTACTGCGGATATCCTCATTTCTAAGTTTATTTCGCAGAGAAACTCCGAGCATAGCCCTTTCCATCGCTCACTGAGCGACTTTGAGCGTCCTCATACGGCCAGCAGTGAAGGACCACGTCTCGGTTCCGTAGGTCATCACTGGCAACACGCACTGGTTGTACAACTTATTTTTCAGGTTTTGAGGTATACCTGACGAGAAGATGTGTCGTAATTTCCCGAATCTTGCTTTGAGTGCACTAAATTTTATAGTTTTAGTATTTCTGAAGAGAAATGGATTCAGTGCACTACGTGCAAGTTTTAAGTATTCAGTTGATTTTAAATGTAAAAAGTATGAAGTTAGATATAAGTACATAGTTAAATGTATGACTGTTTATTCTAATTGAAAGTTTATTATGTATAGATATTTTATAGTGTTATGTTTATTTAAATTGTCATGATTAAATAAATAACTTTTTAAATTTTTTTTTTCGTATTTATTCCTACAATGAGCACTAATTCTGTCAAAGGTCAACTTACCCCTGGGGAAAATTCAACCAACCCCGTGTATGGGGAAGATTGACTAGTATTTCGTGTTCTACAAAATAAAGCTTGTGCACTATATCATAATTAATGGCAAGCTTTTTTGTTATTTTTTTCAGAAGCTTAATAGTTAGTTATTACATAATAGTTAGTACCTATCATATATAATGGTTTTTACGATAATATACACTAAAATAAAGTATATATAAGCATTTTCATTGAAATTTTGTCAACCATCCACGGTCTCCCCTACTGGCAGATACATAATGTACAATTTATTTCATGCCAGTAAACCTCAATTCTTGCAACTGGGACAGTATATAACAGTATTAATTTAATAATATCGCGTTTCTCCTATCCTCATCAACCCACAAACAGTCTACTTAGACATTAATGAATCTAAGGAAAAACAGAAATCCACAGATTATGGGAATCTGTGAATTTCTGTTTTTCCTATGCCTAAAGTTTTAAAGTTCAATAGGATTCTATTCTTTTTTCGACCTGAGTTTTGAAAATCGCAGTTTAAATTAAGTTACTAACTTGAAGACTATAAGCCTATACAATTAGTTTTGCCTGTAAGCCATTCCAATTTATTAATTAATTTAGTTTCCATTCCAAAGGCACGGTTTACATTTTGAGAAGTGACAAGTGCGCGTGGCAAGTGCAACTAACAAATGCTTAGTGCGTGTTTTATTCACACTTGTCACTGACTGTTTACACACACTAAGCGCTTGTCATTTGTCAGTTGCACTTACCACTCGCACTTGTCACTTCTCAAAATGTAAACCGAGCCTAATGGGCGGTTTACACGGGCTTCGTAGCTAAGCGCTTAATACTTGTCACTAACACTAAGTCCTCATGTGTAAACACGCTGGTTAGTGTTTAGTATTAGTATTTGTGAATAGTGCAAGTGAATAGAAAACGATCCTATTTACTAAGCGACAAGTCGATACCCCCACCACGATTTACTAAGCACTTGTCGCTTGCTGACCGTGTGTTAACAGCTCGACAAGTTGTTCTCATATATGTGTCTTGTCGTTGAATTGCTGGTGTAACTTTTTTTAGTAAAATATCAAATTGTGCCGTTGACATTATCATAGGTTACTCTATATTCTCCTGGATCTTCGGTTGCTAGTTCTTTTAATAGAAGAGCAGAATGGCCCCGTTCATCTCTGCGCAGTAACCACTGTCTTGTCCAGAAACGTTTTCTTTTTAATATTTGTCTTTCACGCTCTTCGATCATGCTTGAAATAATAATGTTTGAATATTGCTTAAACACACTGCGCAAAATCAGGCGGCGTCGCTCCATTTCGAATGTCTGGTCACTAATAACATTTACTGGCTCCAACGTGTAAACGGTTACTTTTCACTTGTCATATTGAGGCTTAGGCCGGTTTACATTTTGAGAAGTGACAAGTGCGAGTGACAACTGACAAGTGGCAAATGAGAAGTGACAAGTGCGTATTTTATTCCCACTTATCACTTGCCACTGCCTGTTCATACGCACTTAGTATAGTGACAAGTACTAAGCACTTAGCTATAAAGCCCGTGTAAACCGGACATTAGGCTAGAAACTGAGTGACAAGCGTGCATTGGGGCGGGCCGTTCACCGTGAACGGCCCGCTCTCCTTGTACGCTCATAACTCCGGTCTCTACACTTAAGCTGAGGTTATAAAATGATTCAGCAAAGAAGCATCAACATAAAAGTTATGTACAATTATAATATAATTGATGCAACTTAAAAATGACTGAAGCTAATTTTAACCAAATTATTTTTGCATGCTTAATAGTTTAAATTTATGATGAACTAATAAATTTACTGTAAAGATATTGTTATTAGTAAATAAAGATAAATTGATCTGACAATATCAATTTGCATATTGGTTTTTATCGAACATGTTAAATTTTGCAAGTCTATACTTATTAAAACACATCAACAATATTAAGTGAAGTAAAGATGAGGATCGTTAAACGCACAAAAATGAAGAGCGAAAATATCATTATAAAAACACATATTTTTCTTAGTTATTTATAAACCCAGCATCAATCAAAATCAAAACAGTGGAAAATTAGGAACACGCGGTGGCGAGACGAAGCCAGTGTGCGTTAATCAAATTTTCTCTGAGCAATGACTACGATAAATATTGATTAAACGTGATAAGTGACTGATAGCGTGGTGCAAATTACAATATTATATAAAATTTTGTCGAATATCTTACATAATAGTTTTTTTTA